TATATACTAAATAATAAAAATTTCAAGTAAGGTTTATTATCACTAATAATAATTGTGGTGACATTAAAATCCAGCCAGGATAGAATGGTCCCTCAGGCATCGCGTAGCGCAATGCAGCATTAACCAGTAATCATGTCAGTACTTTCTGCTTTGAAACAGCATTGGCAAACAGTCGCATGTTGTCCCAGCACAGTGCCAATTGTGTATTCTTTTTGCAAGCACTGTTCCATTAGACATAGTGATATGTACTCTTGAGTGACATAAACTTGCAACTGTACTCTCCAGTACATGGAACTGAAATAATCTGAAAACTGCTACATTCTTTCCTTAGTTGAGGCTTGCTCTGTCACATGCATGTGGGGTCAGAGTTCAATGAATCTTGGCTACTGTGTGGTACTAGGGCAGCTTAATATGTTACAGGTAATATGAAACAATTTTTCCATCTCTTTAGAGGTATTCCTAAGAATTTAATTGCTGTGGACCAATATTTTTCAGTCATCGGTAATCATCATGACTAGATGCTATCAGATTTCATTTTTTTAGAACATTTTCTCTACAGTTTTTTAAATAATGTCATAGTGTTTGTTACTGGTAAAACTTGTAACTCCATCAGTATTTCTCTATATACTTGTTTTTTTGAAGAGCACATGACCTGCTGTATTCATGAATTACATTTCTGTTCTTATCTTCTTGTGTAGTCAAATTGTTGCTGGTGTAGCAAGAGTTTAATTTTAATTCTTATATTTCTTGAGGCTTAAGGATGGTTTTAAACTTTAGTTTATGATGCCTGGATGACTGCTTCAATTGTTAATTCTAAAAGTAATTCATTCTAATCTTTATTTTTTTCTTATGCTAATGATCATCAATATGACCAGTGGCCTGAAGGTAACTACAGTCTTGAGTGGAAGCCTGTCAGGGGCAACTTGTTTTTCCTTAAGGCAAAAACTGTTAACTCTGGAATCTGAAGGTAAAATTATCGTTATTGTGACTCATTTCATTCCAAGCTCTGATGATACATTTGTCTCCTTCCTATTTCATCTTGCAGTCTTTATACAGCACTCATTTGGTCACATCGTTGATATGACTTAAACACAGCCAACCTGCACTGTGAGTTTCATGGAGGATAAGATCACTTCTAAGGCTATACACACTTAGAATTTCCACTTTCTACTGGTTTGGCAAAAAGAAACATGCTCAGAATGTAAAATATTGTTCATGGGAATAAATTACCTTTCACATTATGTTTGCAGTCATGTGAGATACTTTGAAAAATATGGCAACTGATGTAAGTAATTTAAAGTGAATTAATAATGTTTGATCAAGTGGCTAATGTTTATAGGATACTGTTTAAACAAAGAGTCTGTAAGAAAGAATACATTTGAACTGAACATTTGTTTCTAATGAGCTCAGTCATATTCTGTACTTGTTAACACTATTATTTCTACTTAGTAGACTTTGAGCATAGGATAGAATTTGTTGTATTTTTCCATGAAAGTAATAGTTGGACATATGGTTTCCATTAATATACATAACAGGAAAAGACCTTAAAAAAAAGGAAAAGAGGCTTTTGCATATATAATTCAGTCTGTTGGAATCAAGTATGGCACAATATAGATAAGGAACTAAGACATCTCATCCACAGGAGGATTAACTCTGTAGTGCTGATAATTTTTCAGCAGAGTAAGGAGTCCCATTTGTTCACAGTGCTAATTCCCAAAGCCCACCATTGGGCATTATGCTGAGCCAGTTTCATCTTCTTCCCATCCTAACAACCTGTATACCTAAGGCCTGTCTTAATTTTATGAGAACTTCATCTGACATAAATTTGGTTCCTGCATAATATGTTTCTTTTCTGAAATAAATTTTACTAAGAAGAATGCAATTTCAGCACCACCCAAGGCTTTATGAAAGATGGGGCATCAATAAACATGACAGCAGAAAGCTTGGTTCTGGAAATAGAACAGTATTTTGAAGCATAACTGGACTTTCTAGTGAGATAAAAACATATTGGAGGGGGAGAAGAGAAAATTGGCATCAGTAATGTGTTACACTGTTGGAAAGCTCTAGCTTTTGCATTGTAAATCTGTTTTTTTTATTTTGGGCTAGAAATTATTCTTATAAAAAGTTGCATATCTATCATAGGTCTGCCACCGTACAAAATTTCAGAACCTTACATTCATTGGTGCTAGATATTTCCCACTCACATGTCTGTATTGCTGCATTTTTAATATTTGTTGTTACTGACCTAAAATCTCGGGTAAAAGTTCTTCAATAAAAAAGATTTTGCCATACCAAAATTAATAAATAATTTCTAAGAGGCTGGCTGTGTGGGATTATTAATTGCATTAAATCACTTGGTCTGTTACTTTTCCATAATTTTATATGTATGACTTTCATCAGTGCTTGCTGTTTTATAGCTCCAAAAATAAACTATATCAATGGTTTTCCTTAAATACTAGTATATCATATGCAAATGGTATTTGGTTACCAAATAAGACAGAATTATGTAGTTTGTGAGAACAAACGGAAATAAGTGTGAAATTTAATTCTAAGAAGCTACTATGGAGTTGGTAAATAACGTTTGATGTCTTGCAGTGTAGGTGGAGGAGAAGGGTTGTTCCCAGTCAGGTACTTTGCCTAGTTGGTTGAGATGGATTCCTTGTACTTATTAAACAGCCATTTCTTCTGTAGTTTGTTCACAATGTTGTTCCTCATCGTTTCATCATATGTTTCTTCATATTCTGAGTCACTTTTGCTGTCACTGTTTGCTGACTGCATCTGAGGGAGAGATTTGATCTTTGCTAATTGAAATTGCCTAAGCTCATTTACTACATAAAAATTGTAATTATTTATCATTGAATGTAGAATTTAAAATTGAGCTACCTGTAAAATATTTAAAAGAATCAAATATTTATTTATTTATTTGATAATGAAATTATGTTAGGGAGGTAGGTTGTAAGGAAGTGAATTAGTTTGAACTAGCTTAGAATAGGATTTTGTGGTGATTGAAGACAACAATATCAAATTTTATAATTTCTCATAAAAGATTGGTTCCTTTTTTAGAAATATCACCGACCTGCCTTGGGTATGTGGTTAAATTTGTCATTGTCATACCACTACCAGCATAATATCTGCATTACATCAAATGTCAGAATATAGCTCTTGACACTTCTTTTGTGTTCAGAAGGTCTGAAGTCCAACTCTTACCATAGTTTGATTATTTTGAGGTGTTTTGTGATATTCCTCAGTTCTTTCAGGCATAATTAACCTTGCTGATGATGACTTCCATATATAGGTAAACTGTGTAATCCATCAATCTTAATGGTTATCTCATTCAGTACTATATAGCAACTCAGTTGGAGATAGGGAGTAGATCTATCGATTGGGCCCATTTGAGTAGGTTTTACCTTAAGATGGAGACAGAATCCAGTCTCCGAAACGTTGTGTTTTGAAAAATAAACAGGACGGTTTTTAGATAAAGACTAGTCGATGGATAATGTCCACAAACATACTATTTGTACCAATGTACCATTGTCACAAATTTTTAGATAATATTCACATTGCTTCGTTTGGCCAATAGTAAATGAATATGTCTTGAAACCTGGAGTTCGTTGGGAGGATTTGGAGCCAGAAATCTGAGCAGAAAAGAATTAACCGTCATCATAAGCTAGGTGCAGAGGGATCTTCTGGGTGAAAGTAGGTCCCTGAGTCTGATGGCTTGCAGATAAGAGTGTGTGCAACTTAGAATGACGTGATTTTATTCAGATTTGCCCAGTAGGAGTACTTATATTCAGTCTGAGGTTGAGGAACTCTGTTGGAATCAGCAAATTCTAAATAAGGGATTTGTATTAGCGGCAGACGCCGCTTCTTGGAGGGATAGTGCATCGCGGGTGCAGGTCATATCGAGGTTTTTTGTTTTCAGCTTTATAAGTCAACTGATTTGTACCGCCACTCTAGCAAATTCATATAGGTGCACCGCAAGTAAACTGATGGATTCTGTTATCAGGCAGTTTTATCCACTTCACATCTACACTAGTTTCTTGCAGAAGAGTCGTTTTAACATTTTCCTCCCATCGGTGTCGCGGTTTCTCAAGCAGGCTCTTTCCCATCAGTTTATCTAACCACGATTCTGTCAGTTCTCATCTGCTTGAGCTGCATGTCTCTTCTGTCTTAACTTCCTTGGTTTAGTTCCTTTAACAATATTTATTATGACTGAGCCGGGTAGGGTAGCGGTAACGTCCTGGATATTCGGTAGTGCTCAGTTCGAATCTTAGCAGGGCCGTCGGGTGTCTTTACTGCGATTTCTCGTGATTTTCCTCAGTTTCCGAAGAAATGGAACTATAATAAGTCGATTAGCCCACAACTACTTCCTTTCAAATCATTTCCGATTTAACATCCCTCAAGTCATCCTACCATTTTAGTGCATAGAGTATAGCTTGTGACAGCGCCTTAAATAACCCCGAAAAAGCTATTACTCATCACCAGTTTCTGGAATCCAATAGCAAAAACCAGAGCGCTAAATCATAAGAAAGAATACTAAAACTGTTGCTCTTTCAGAGTTACATGAAAAGTGCTTTTATTTTTTACATGTGGACATCACTTGCCGATGTATAGTTTGGTTCCATGTTGGAAAGTGTGCAACAAATTGGGGAGATATAGAAGGAAAATCATTGTGTAGGGGTTTCGTTTTGTGATGGTTCCGCTCTGATATCATATAAATGCACGAATATATGAGACACCTCTGAAGTTTGCATCGCAAAATGTTGCAGCTGCAGAGTCCAGATAGTTGAGTCGGTCTAGTGACGGGCCGCGCACTGGCCGGAAAAGGAGTAGGGAGTTCGGTATACCCTGCAGGGGCAAGGGATTATTCTGCCCTCCACAGCGCTCGCCCGGCCTACTATCTGAGGGATATCGGGGGACTGTTTGCCTGAGTGTAAAATGGTCGGGGCTTGAAGCTGACCACTGGCCTGTATCTAGAGCGTCGATTAAGAATGTGTGGAACTACCTCCACTCCCCCGTACGTCTTTATGGCGTGCTGGCTAGTAAATTAAGCAAAGAGAGAACTAAACCTTTAACTTTACAGTGAATCGTTCAGAAATCATACTGAGGTCACGGAAAGAAGTCCCCTGGATTGACCCCCTCCCCTGCCCTTGTAGTTGTTGCGCTTTCCGTTCCGGTCATTTTCACGCCACTTTGGTTGTGATAACATATTAATCTTTAGTAACAACAAACATTTCGTGCTGTTAACACAGGCCAGAGCGGGTGTGTGTGGGGGGTGGTGCGAGAGTAAGCAGAAAGAATATCCGTTGTCCATGTCAATGGCTTCAGTATATTTCATAGGCTTTGTGTTTGTCAAAGAGAAATTGAAGACTATAAGAATTTGTGTATTTTATATTGCACATTATTCTTTGCACTGTAAAACCAAATATAAGAAGACTTATTAGTTTCTTTATGTCCAGGCACCCATCCTTCCTTCTGCATGTATCAGCAGGCAAACTACTTGACAGAGTCTGATTAAACTTAGTGTGGTGGATATGCAGTAAAATTTGTCAAGTCATTTCGATTTCAGTTTGTTTTGCTTTATCTTCAATGTCACTTCACTGGTATCATCATAAAAATTTTGTCAGATTTTTGTATGTACACGTAGTTAGTACTCGACAATTATTTGGATATTAAATTTTTCTGTACGAATTCCGCACACTTTAATTTTATTTTATTCCATTTAAGGGTAACTTTACGGAGGGACCTAAGCAAACCTGTAAGGGTATACAATTCGTATTTCGGTATATGTTCATGTAACTTAAGGATTGCTGCATGCAAGTTTCATTCATTTTAGGTCCCGTATATCCTTGCTGTACAGTGTCGTTAAATAAATTTAGAAATGGCCGATATTACTTAAAGGGGCAAGAAACTTTTTTGCTTTTGTATTTTATTAAGGCGAGAGGTAATGTCTTTAATAAGACACAGGTATTCATAAAACATATGTTTATATATTGTAGCCATTTTGCGTCGAATTCAGTGATTTATATATATACACAGTAAGGTAAAGTTGTCCCTGTACTTAACTAATTAAACATTACGCCATGAAGACGTATTGTGGAGTGGATGTATAGAACCCCATTTTCTTGACCTCGGCAATAGTTGGAGGCGAGTTGTTAGCTTCACGCCACGGCCGCTTTACCCCCGGGGAAATAGCTGCCGGTACCCTTTAAATAGGAGGCTGGGTGGGCCCCAGAGCCGGTCTGGACACGATGGAGAAGTGAAAATTCTTGACCCTACCGGGACTCGAACTCCGACCCCTCGATTGTTCAGCCCATAGATAGTCGCTATTCCGGCGCTGATAGTCTGTAATGTAGCAATACGACTTATTGTTTTCTACCGAAAGCGTTGTATAACCTGCCATCACTTGGCCAGATAGCGCTTGTTCGATTTATGCCGCGTTTCATGTACAGGAGACAGAAGTCATGCATAAGGGAAATGTATTTTGAATTCTACCTCAAGAGCGGGTTTAGTTTTCCCTTTCGTATTTTATTTATAGTTTTTTAACAACATTGTCAGTAATCATACATTCGTGGAATGACTGGCTGATAGTGAATAATGAACTGCAAGGGATATGGAAGGAAGCGGTTGCGGCCTAATTCAAGACATTTTCCCTACATTCTCCTAGAGAGACTGGAGAAAATTACAAAAAGAAAAAGAAGTAGGATAGTCGGCGTCCCGCCCGAGCTTCGAACCGGCCGCTTCCCGAATACAAGTCAGAAGCGTTTCGCATAGTGGGGGGTGGATTCCAGCTGGGTCCACTCGGCACGTCGGCCACTGATTGGCCTATTGTACCTGACCCGGGTGATTATGATGATGGAGAATTTGGTGGAATGAAGATTGGCAGGGAAAACCGAAGTACTCGGAGAAAACCCGCCCCAGCGCCACCTTGTCCGCCACAAATCCCACTTAACCAGACCCGGGATTGAACCCGGGCCGCCGCGATGGGAAGCCAGCGACTAACCGCTTGAGCTAAGGCGTGGCAATGCCAGAAGCGTTACTGTTTCAACAGATTTGTTCGGTGCGTGTCCTCCTTGTGATCTGGCAGGCTTCGATTCGATTGATGCTCTCAACGCGTATATTTTATTATGACTCAAAATGAACTGAAATCTGGAGTCGAGGACTATGAAAATTCAACAGGCAAACACATTGAAGTATTCAGAATATTTGCTTTCCCACACGCCTGTCTGGTTGGCTATTATTTTGTGCTGACAGTAAAAATTTGCATTATGAGTTTCAAAACCGGCGTAATATAAAGGACTCAAAACGCATTACCATGAGAAGCAGGGCTATCCCCATGGCTATAAAAGACAGGTCCTCAATGGCTTGTGTGGGCTTGAAAGTGTTTCCTGGTTTTGCACTGTATAACTAAATAAGAATATAATGCCATGTAGTCCGGTGATGTCAACGTCTGACGTTTCGGAGTAACATCGTCTTAGTCTTCAGGGGCGAAGAATAGGCCAAGCATCAAGCAAAGCAAACCGCGAGTGGTAAGGCCAAGAGCGAACTTGCAAGCAAATGAGTTTGCTCTCATTGGTTGCTTCAGACAAACAAGACGAACCAATGGAGGACAAGAGAAGAGTAGCTACCATTAGCCCTGCAGACATGGGAACAAGAGGGAGAAGTCGTATATGTATGTGTTAAGCAGGAGCCGATGAGAGCGGCAGAGAAGATGCGTCCGTGGGCGTAGGCACGCAGCAGGGGATAAGCAGAGCAAGATAGAGCCAATGGGAAACAGGGAATGAGGACGGTTTCACGGTACTGCTGCCTGTTGTGTCAGCTCTGTATGCTGATGTGAATGGGAAAGTGTACGGAAGGAAACGGTTCTCCCCTGGAATTTGTCTCTGGAACTTAGGACGGCGAGAGGAACTAAGCTAGCTCATATTGACAAAGGATTTCGGCCATGTAATTCCTGTCTGTAAGCCGAAAATCCAATTCAGTACAGAAATGCAAGTGAGAACAAACGGAGGAGGAGGAGGAGTGTGTGACCAGTTTTAAGGTATTGCACCAAAATTTGCCTGGAGACCGAGAAAACCTTGTACAAAGGGCAGCCTGGCCTTCCGTTACAAATGGAAATCAGGCGCCTGAGTGACTGAGCTACTTACCAGCTGCAGTAGGGGCTGCAGATGGAAATCAACCCTCTGAGCCTCCATATGCGGGCGGTCATACACTCTGACCCTGTGGCTCAGTGGTTGGTAGCCATCCCGATAAGCCGTGACTATATACTGACCCGGCGTCAGCAACCGCCAGTAGTCCCCGTCATGCACTGCAAAACATTGACATCACAGCGTCTGTATAAGCTTTTCGCTTTCTTCCTCATGCAACTTCAGTAATAATAAAAAAACTCCGTGGCCTCTTGTTCGCAAGCGAACTATATCGACCGAGCGACCGCCGCTTGTCGGCGAAGTTAGTGCCAACTTTTGCGAATAGAGGGTTTCGCATGGTCAGCGCAACGGATCCCCACGGCCGTTATTGTCGGTTTTCAAGACCGGAAACTTCAATAGTCCTGAATTTAATTATTGGATAAATTTGATGATTTACATGTGATTATGTATCTGTTACTAGGTTTAAGACTAACCACCTAATTAATCAACTAATTGACTGATTAGCCAACCGACACATTAGCTGATTACTATTTCTCTTGTTTTCTTATGTTCAGGAGGCTGAACTCACCGGACGTGACGTCATGCAGAATGTCGTCGTTGCGTCCCGCTGTGACGTTCTTGACGTGTATTATTGTATTGGGGAGCGGCTGACCGGTCACTGCGTCCCTGACGTGACCCTTCACACCGATGTGAGCCTGTCGAGAACAGATCCAAGTAAGCACACCCCAAACATCATCATTTATTTTTCCTGCTATTGACATATTGCTGAAGTGCAATAAACATAAGGATCTATGTCGTAATTATACTCATAAACGAGCAAAATTAACAACATAACTCTTCCTCGAAATCGATATGTTTTTCTTGTCTGACACTGGAAGATGCGTTTCGTTCTTTAGCGCACCGACAGTGGGATGCACGGCGTGATGCATACCTGCCACATGTACTGGATAAGTGCTTTCTTGTTGTTCTCCCATTCCTCTTGGAGAGCCGAGGCCAACGGATACTTGTCACAACCGAGCTCCAGCGTAATCTCGAAGTCGTTGGACGACAGATAGTTGAAGTCTTGCATCCCTGGAGAGAAAGTATAGTTATTGTAGTTAGTGAATAAGCACTTAGACACAAATATTTAGTGTCAGGCGATTTGCGATGTGATCGGAGAAGAAGCAGCTGTCAGTGCATGTCATTGGCAGAACTAAATTGAATCCAGTTCCTCATTGAGATGCCAGTTAGGGTGTTGTTTTCCCCTATTTGCTGTCAGTAGCTCAAATTAGACAGTATCTACCGAGCATTATCGTAGTTGTTTGGTTGTTTGTTGTTGCAGAAATGATATTCATTTCGCCTGTGGTCATCTGCCCCATGTTGTCCTTGATGGAAATATTTGTTGCAAAGTTAGGAAGGCACAAAACGCAGATGGTTAGGAGCAGCTTTACAGATATCTTGTGCAGTACTACTCTTCTAACGAATTAGAAACCACTTACTGAGATTAAAACATGTGATATTTTTCTACACCTCTGTGACACTCGTTAATTCATGGCACTATGTGTATGTTGAGAATACGTTTCAGAAATCGAAGTTATTTTCGTTCTAAAATGACTGGCTCCCATAATTACCAGTTCCTGTGAATTAATATGGGCATGTACTGCTTATGTTATCTGATTATTGTGATTGTTTTGCCTTCATTTCCTGGATTTATTAATGCAGTTTATGTGAATACAGGATCGATATTACGAGACTCGATTCCATGTCGTTTTTCTCTCTGGACACAATAACATCGGGAAGTACTGGGCGAGACTATAAGTGTTCATGCCCTGGTTTGAGGTAGTACCAGTTCTTCCAGTACTTAGCCCGACCATCTGTTCTTTCTTACAATTTTTGTTAAAAGGAAAGCTTATTTAGAAGAGTTTCTTTAAATCTGTATTTTTATTTTCCCAAGATTAGATGCTATTACTGGATTTCGATTACGTATACGAGTATATGCGAATTTAGTAGGCAGATAAATGGTTTTCGCTAATGGAAATAGCCTAGTGCTATTACTAAAGGAATCGATATTACTCTTTATAAGACTGTATAATACTCTATTAATCTATTTGCTATAATAGCTCTATAGTCCTTCCTTGGACCTTGGCCGCTTTTTCAGTTTCTTAATCGAATACACAGTCGGTAGTACTCCTTGAACGGGGGATCGGCCTGTCGCAAGGCCGCTACCTACACACAGAACAACACAAACAGAATAAACGCACACAGACATCCATGCCTTGTGTAGGTTTCGAACCCACGATCCCAGCTTTCGAGCGAGCGAAGACAGTTCATGCCTTAGGACGCGCGGCCGCTGTTATCGGCATATTAGACCTACCAGTAATAATTATCTCTGTTAGATTATGTGCCATGTTACGGCGTGGTGGCGGGGGCGTGGAGGTATCCCCACCGCTTCCACCACTGTTATGCCCTTACGCCCTTACGACAGGGGTGGATTGGTTATCTCACCGCTGTCTCCACTGTTATGCTGCCACCATATTGTATGTCAACAACTCTAATGAACTTATCATTGCTTACGTCACTGGTCCTGGCTTAACTCGCAATTCGCCGAAGCTCTGGGAGGTCCTGGAGTCGTCAGGGAAGAGGGTAACACTTAAGGAAATGCTAGGTTGAATTAAACTCACACACATTCCTATCCTATTCTATTTCCCTATGTCGCTATATACATACTATATACACACTTTGCCGACGATTGTCGGTTCGTATTACATTTGATGATGACCCTCCTGTAGCCATCATTGGTCCTCTCTCCTGTCCCCCTGCTGTCAGGTATTCTACGCCTCTGTATCTCTTAATGAACCTAGTCCATCTAGTTAGCACTATCTTTCTCTGGGGTGTACGCTTTAATATTATCACTATCACACTTATTGTTCACGGCTATATGTAGTTGGTTCACTTACTTGCTGAGGAAACAGACGCTCGCCATCACCAACCAACGCCCACTCATTGCCATCGCTTTCTCGGCGATAGCCTCCGGCTGAACTCTATGGCACTTAATAATATTAAAAAGTCAAAAGGTTTTTTGATTGATTACTCTAGGGTTTATGTACCCTCTTTTTGCTGATTCGTTGTGTTCCGGGGTCTTATTGGTCCGCCCATTCTGACGTGATTTTGGGTCGGTGTGGCCCACTCATTGGCTGTCTATCGAGAAGGGGTTGACTCTTTCGGGTCGCCCGCCCCCCACACAGCTTTTTCCTCGTGCCAAAGTGTTTATGACCTACTTCATATAGCTTCTTCCTCAGTGTCAGCGCTATTACGCTGTCGAGCTAACATTCTGATTACTCAGGTATTGCCTGTTACACTTCTTTGTAAACCCAAGCTTCCTGGTTCGTTTCATCATTGCTGTTTCTTAATCTTACAGTCTAGCTACTGTTATTCCAAATTTACCCCCAAAAACTATATCTACATGTACATGACCTTTGCGCCATTACATGCCACTTAACTTATTTCATTAGCTTAACTATTGGAGATCGTAGCTTTTACGAAGCTCGATGAATATTGATCCCCCAAAGGGCTCACAAACCTACCTCCCTGTACGCTGTACCAGGCCGCCCCATTGGTGATGCCACCCTGCTTGCCGAAGTTGTACCCATCGTCCCCACAACCGCTTCGCTTAGGGTTCGCCATGTTCTTGTGATGCGTGGCGTAAGTCATAGCCAGGTGCCTGCAACAAATGGGAACTGTTTGCGTGATGAAGCAGGTGAGGTGCAGTGCTCGCAGCAGCATAGAAACAGTCTCTATATTGAGATCAGAGAAAGCTAAGAATTCTCTTAAAGTCTGTGATATTGTACTTGCTCATTTCACTACAATTAGGCGTATGTTGGACACTATTATCTGAGGTGTACTAAGGATATACGACGTTTCTGGAGTTGAATTTGTTTTCTCTTCGGATGGAAGGTTGTACTTATAACTACTTCTGCTGTTTCCTCGGCATTAGTGACAACGGTTGGGACAGATCCTCTATGAGGAAGATCATAACATACTTTCTTATTTCAGCGAGGTTCAGAAAAAAACTCGTTCGCGGCTCTGCTAGCGAATGTGGTCGGTCGTAGGTGATCACGTGGTAGTGAGTGCGTGAAAGAGAGAGTTCTTTCTGGAGCAGGTTCATAGCTGATATGTCTATGGGAAGACCGCCATTAAATGGTGACCACTTTAACGATCTCTATTCTCTCAAATAATCTCTGAGCGGGTTTCTTTTGAACAACCCTCATATATTCTGCACAGACGTTCAATGCTAAAGATGTTCTTGAAGAAGGCATATAAATTTCGCATGTGAATTTTCATCCAGCTACACATAGAGTGACAATGCAGTACATGAAATACGTAAAATAATATTCTAATCTTGTTGCACCCAAAGCCCTGCTCCAACTTATATGACTGTTTAGAAATAATGACAGTGGTCACAGGAACTAGTGTCAGAGTCCAACATATCTTAATGCCGCCTATAGTCGTCAAAGTAAGAAAAATAGGTTCACTCCTAACAAGCTGGAGCAGGAAGCAGTATTGTGACATTCTGTTCATAAAATAATGTATAAGAAAACACTCTCAAAGAGAGGAATTGTATATTTAGTAGCAAAAACAATAATGCGTCATAAACTATACCGCGGATATAGGTATGTGGTCTGACAATAAAGTTCGCGAACACTTTGCGGTAACACCGCTGTATACCTCATTGCTGAATATCACTGTGGTCACCTTCAAAGTACTCCCATTGGAAAGCTATGCACCGATGCCAGCGCCTAGTCCACCCTTCAAAAGAATTTTGGAGTTGGTTTTGCGGAATGGCCTTTAGAGCTCCCGTTGTATTATTCCTGATGTCATCAATGTCATGAAAAATGACTTCCTTTCAGTATTTCCTTTATCTTCGGGAAGAGAAAAAGTCATTGGGGGGGGGGTAGATCCGGTGAATATGGATGTTATTCCAGCACAGTTATTTGTATACTAGCTAAAAACTCCCTCACAGACAAACGTTCTCGCGACTGCACACCAAAACGCACTCAGACAATAATAGACGCCACTAAGAAAGACTCTGTTATAGATCAACAACAACACAGTTGTGACTCACTGATATGCCATCGTCATCAGACAATACTGAGGTTTCTGTCCACTGTTGCCACGGCAAGCACACGGTGGCGGGTTTGCGAATTATTGTTAGATTTCTTAAGTATTCGATTACTGACAAAGTTTCCCCTCTTATATACATATGTTGTATGCAAGAAGAATACATGCTTATACGAAGGTGGTATGCGAAGTGAAACAAATGTTGTCATTGGTGTTATTCTAGCAATCTGTTTAATGACACTGTGTGAAATGTGTACAGTGTGGTGTAGAGAATGTGTTATAGACGTAAGAATAATGGCAAGTGATTTCAGAGTTAGAAGTGTACTTTTGTGTGATGGGCAATAGATTACTTTCCTGCCGTCTAACCTTCCAGGCTTACATGTGTGAGCAGGTAATGTAAAGCATCAGGGAACTATTTTCTTTCCATCTATTAAATTGCTTACAGAATCACATTATGTAGTGGAAAGCACGAGTTACAGATGAAATTGTTGTAATTGTATTTTATAGTTTAGTGTAGAGCATATATAGTGATGTGTTCGTTTTATGTCTGAACGCTTAGAAGAGTGTCGAATGATATTTCCCTAGGACCAGATCGTAATCAGTGATTTTCCTATCTAATATTTGACCACCAGTATTGTTGGGTGGATACTGACGCTGATCATTCTGAGCCCTTATTTATTTGGATGATTATAAACTCATAAACTCGTGTGAAATTTGTACAGTGATTTGCACAGAATGTGTTGTGATTATATGGATCGAAAGTGAATTAGATTTTAAGAGTGCATATTTGGTATGCAGGAAGCTGGGTGTAGCTTTTGAATGTAGCCTCTGAATATTACACTTTTGAATAGGTTATTAGTCACAATGATACAAATATTTTTTTACATTAGTGTAAATACATGTAAGAAGAGGGTGCAAATTGAAGTGCATACCTGAAGGTCTGGTCGTCAGGACTCTCGGTGTACTCCGTCATGGCTCCGGAGCGGCTTGCATCATATGGATAGTTGGCCACTAGGTCACCGCCATGGAGATTTGCGGACAGGACAAAAGGCACTTGCATTATCAACCTCATCACTGCTTTTGTCTCGGGCTGAATCTGTAACACGTCATTCTGAAATTAGCCCGCCCATTCAGTCTCGTGGCTAGCGGCCTGACGAATCGGAGAAGTCCGATTTAATTACTTATTTATTTATGGATGTAGTTAAAAGTCGGATGTGTATTAATTTTAACAGGACATTTTCTCGACGATCGGACATTTAAACACTCCTAAATTTGAAGCAAGTAACTTCAGATTGTGGTATAAAACACAAGTTATGAAATCGCGGTGTAAATCTCCCCTGAATACAAATTAATATTAGGACTTGTGCAATTTAAGAAGCATTTGTGTCGCCCCAAACTCACTTGTATTTGTTTGTGAAATAGTGAACTAAAATTTCCCTACTAGACTCGGCCACACGAATTTGTTCTCGTACTCACTAGAAAGGTGACATGATAGAGATCATTTGTAGCAATCGTTTATACTGGCCCGCTTTATTGAGGCGTTGGAGAAGTTGCCTATAATGCACGGCGTTATATAGGTGCTCTACGATCATTTTAAAGCGACATAGAGAAAATATGTGTAAGAATATATTATAACTAATCATTCATTTAATACAGACGAGTCATAGTATAAACAAACATCTGTCTGAGACATGTACTGTCAGTGGGTTCAGGGAAGTTTTAAGCGTGCATATGTATATATGTGATCAGAGTCAAACGGTCATTTTAATGTGTAAAAAAGTAAAGCTGTCCCTGTAACAGTCCGTAAAGGCCCATAGAGTTATGAGAGGTCCAGACTCCCACATTTTCTCTAGATAATCGGCTCACAGATGGCCGCAAGATTGTCAGCCTTACGCTCCGGCCTCCCTTTATCACCCAGGAAGATTCCTGGTATTCATTTCTGTTAGAGGCTGAGTCGACCACAGGGCCATATTGCGGCTGGAAAGACTAAGTAAATTGAAAAAATCCATCTCATCGGGACCCGAACCCGCGACCTTCCGGCTAGTAGCATAGTGTCTCAACCAACTACGCTACCGCGCACCCCTTTTATTTGTATTTGTATTGTATTGTATTTGTTAAAAGACTGAGGAAAACCACGTAAAGTAGATTATCCCGTAATGTTGTCGATATTTGAACCTTGTTCCTTCCTAGCACAAGTGTAAAATGTTAGTATTGTAAAAAAATGATAACTCTATAACAAAGAAACTCAAGAATTTTTTATATTGTAATTTTCATAATTTTTATAATAGGGACGCGTTGCACCACAATATGGATCCATATTGAAATTTCAATTAACTTTATCGTATTTGTTATATACACTGCCTGATGATGGTCCAGTGAGGACCGAAACATGAAACGGTAAACAATAAAATTCGACCTATGAGATATTGATTTTAATTGTGATATCTTTATCCGTGGTAGCGTAGCTGGTTGAGGCATTATGCTACAAGCCGGAAGGTCGCGGGATCGAATCTCGATGAGGTGGATTTTTTTCAATTAATCTATTCCTTCCAGCCGCTCGACTCGGCCTCTAACAGAAATGAGTACCAGGAATATTCTTGGGGGTACAGGGCGGCTGCAACGTCAGGCTGACAACCTTACCGCCATCTATAAGCCGATTGTCTAGAGAATGTGGGAGCCTCGGCGTCTCACAACCCTATGGGCCTTCACGGCATGTTACAGGAATACCTTTGCTTTGTTTTACTTTATTTTTTCCTTATTACATTGATACTCTACCGAACCACATAGAAATTTCAGAACTGAGAGACAGTGTATGAAGGGACTGTTTCTTATCTCGTAACACGGTGAAATCACCTAACATACGTAATTTGAATAAATCACTAATTTGACAGGCCACCGAAATACAGGTATAAAGCAGCAACAGTAGTGTCCGTTGTGTGTATGTGAGGGTCGGGCGTGTACTTGCCGGCTCCTTGAGACGGTCCACTTGCTCCAGCAGGTGGTTGTTGTGGTTCACATGCGCCTCCTCGTTGCTAAACATGATGCGATCCAGGTCGGGGAAATTCCTGTTCAGATCCACGCTGTTGTTGTTGGCGCGCCCCACGAGGTAGTCATTGCGGTCCTGCGAACACGCCAAAAAAGTCGAGCGTCGATATTTTAACGTGGATGGCAACAGCGTTGCTAAGTAACGGCTCTTTAAAGAAACCTCAACAATAGAGATACTGCTTTCTATGAGGTCCGAGCCAAAACCGTTGCTGTGCAATGATTCGGTAAACACGTTTCAACAATATAGGCTATGTTTACTGCGGGGTCCGTTCCAAGGAGTTGTCTTAAAAACAAACGGCTCTACAGTTAAGTTTTGATGTATGCGACAGATCGCAATGAGGGTTTTATTGCTAGAAAAATTCAGCGTGGTCTCAACTCAATAGAGACCTGGTGTGAGAGCTGGAATATTAAAATTAATGAAGATGAGACTCAGGAGGTCTACTTCTCTCGTGGTCGTCGACCGCCTGAGTCCTCTCTCACTTTAAATGGACGAAATATTCCATTTGTAAATAGTGCAAAATATCTAGGTGTAATATTCGATAAGAGCGTTACATGGAGGTTGCACATAGAAATGATCGAAGCCAAGGCCTTCAGAACATTCATTAGAGTATATTCCCTATTCAAAAGTGAGCGATTGAGCGCTAATATTAAACTGACCTTCCACAAAGCTCTTATTAGATCCGTAATGACTTATGCTAGTCCCGCCTGGGAGTTTGCGGCAGACACTCATCTAGTGAAACTGCCGCGCCTGCAAAACAAGGGTCTCCGCACCATTGGCAATTTTCCAAGGCGCACACGGCTCCGCGATTTGCACAGGGCATTCAAAATCCCGTACGTATAAGACTGTATAACAAAAATATGCAGGCAACAAGCAGAAGCCATACAAAATCATGAAAATGAGAATGTTCGCAACATCGGACAAGGCGAAGCCAGACACAGAAAGTATAAGGAGCTTAAACTTGGCGGCGGTCAGGCATACGACCGTTCAAGTGACTAGACTTCCGTGGTAGCGAATACTACTAGAAATAGGGCACAGTCTTCTGTACTGAGCCTAGACTGATAGAGGCCTTGTATATATTATACATACTAGATATTAAGACTCAATTGTAAATAAGTGTACGTAGTGACAATGGACTAATACTATCGACTGACTGACAAATGACAGACCCGACCTCTCGTCAGAGAGGGCGCCCCACAGGGACAGGACAGTAATTTTCATTTAAAAAGTAACATCTGGTCATGAGCTCCAGCCGGGGCTCGACACCAAGACAGACAGACTGACTGACTCTCAGTCTCAATGTGACTTTGACTTAAGTTCTGAGTTCTCGGTGGGAGATAGCCGCGGGAAGTTCGTAGAAAGCAAGAAGGTCCTCATAGTGATTTGAAATGAAAGTTTCTGTGTTGAGATCCGTTGCTAGAAGACGTCTGGTGGAAACAATCCTAGTGCATGTGCACCGGCAAACTGTAAATTGTGTAAATCAGCGGTAGCTCTGTATTTAAGTGTGATTAAGAGAGATTGTAACCAAGGTGCTAATAAATCCAATCATCAGAACTAGGTAAATTGAAAAAAAAAATCCACTGACCTCATCGCGAGTCGAACCCGCGACCCCTTCCAGCTTGTAGCATAGTGCCTCTACCAAGTACGCTACCGCGTTTCTCTTCCAGTAGATTCAATGAATTAAAAATCGAGCTGCGATAATAGTCGCACTACGTTATGTCCTTTTGAAAATTAATGATTTCCATTTCTGTATCAGACTAATTTTGTTTTGTTTCCGTTCTCACAACGTTAATAATTTACGTAAGTCTACTGCGTGCAACATGGAGATATGTTGTGGGAAGCATGATGCCCACTAACTACTTACTGGGTGGACCTGGGGCAGAGGCTATTCCAGTAATCAAAACTCTCCCAGGTTAAACCGCTTACTTCAAGTATTGGGAAGTTTTGCAAAAGTTTGTCATTGTTTAGGGAGGGACGTATAGATATGAATAAAAATAATGAATATGTGGGTCTCTAGGTTATTAAGACCTGATTTGCCGGTTGCATATTCAAGTATTCAAAGGAGAGAGGAAATGCAGCAGCAGCAACAACAACATATACATTTAAATCGAGGTTAAAATGGCTTTTCAGATCTGTAGAGAAGCCCCGGGGGGGGTGACCAATATCTGTTAAAAAGAAATTATTCTAATATGGGTTCGTGAATTTGTTCCTGCACGTATCGTTGTTTCCGGTCTAGAAAACCGAGATTAATGGCCGTGGGGAACTGTTGCGCTGACCACGTGACACTCTCTACCCTCAAAAGTTGACACTAACTTCGCCAATAAGCGGCTGTCGTTCGATCGGTGTAGTTCGCTTGTGGACTACAGACCACGGAGTTTTTATGTATCTTTTTTGAGAACGATAGTCACATCTTGAGGAACTGGAAATAGCTTCCTCATAAAGAAACTCTCTAGAACTGAATAGAAGGCGCCCACCCTTGCGTACCTGAGTCTACCCCAGTTTTCAGTCCTGATCTTCGTTTTCGGTTATTATTGCTACATTAAAGTTGAACTCTTATTTTCTGTCGTTGCTGTGTTTCGGGTTCCATCATTTTAAAAGTGGGATCCATTAGCAGTTGCGGAGTGAAGAAGGAAGCAAGACGAGAAAATTTGAACTTTATCAAGAAGTTCTGAGAAGAAATAATCGCCAAATTTTATTCGATATGACATGGACCGCATAGAAAACATCTACAACAATTCTTCGTTGCCGCGGGAACGTCTTTATTTAGTTATTATTTAGCAAAGAAAGGGGAATATACAGACAGACCCATATGACGCGTCCAGTAATTCTTTTATTGTTGTATTTGTTGCATCGGAAACGTGTCAACCGAGCTGTTGCCGTACAACGATAGGAAGGATACATTTTACCGGGCCGTTGCCTAGCAATGATAGGGATACACATGCAGACACACAGACAAATGGAAGGGATTTATGAAGTATGCTGTTGAGATGGGTTCAGTTGCCATGATATACATACAAAATTTCATAATGATTGGTTCACGGATTCAAAAGTGGATAAGGGGGATACATAGAGACATAGACACAGATTGGATGGAGATCCCTAAAATTGTGGTTAGCATAGAAAGCACCACATTTCTGTGCGCTACGCTGTTTATGTGGGGAACAAGATTTGTTTACGGGCTGTGCAGTAGAACACTCAGTAGTTGAGCGGAGACCTGAACTCACCGTGTCGGTGGAGAGCTGCCAGCCATCAGGGTTCATTGATGGCATCAAGTGGATGCGAGTCAGTTTGATCAGCTTCTGGATGTCGTGGTCGCCCGCCAGGAAGTGCTCACACAGGTAGTTAGCCAGGTGCAGCAGCAACTCTCGACCCAGCACCTCGTTACCATGCATGTTGGCGATGTATTTGAATTCGGGGTGATCTGTAACACGCACATCTACTCTGAAAAGCTT